ATGATGCTGGAGTTTTCCTTGTTGGAAGACTATTCCTGCCTCAATTCCATGTCCCATTACAGAACTGTTTATAGGGTTTATATCCTCTGGGGTCAATTTAGGTAGCTCAAAAACATCTAGAAAGGTTTCCATTTCTTCTAGATTGTGTGTGTGTGTGTGTGTGTGTGTGTGCGTGTGTCCTGTGATTTGAACTCATAGACTGGGTGCTGTTCCTAAGCTTTCTTACTCCAACTTTTTGGTAGTAAATTGGAGATAGGTCTCAATAAACTTTCCTGCCCAGGCCAGTTTTGAACCAGGATCCTGCTGCTGTGCTGGCTGAGTAGTCATGAATTCCTCTCAGTTTTGTTTGTGGTGGAAAGTTTTTGTTTCTCCTTCAGTTCTGAAGGAGGGCTCTGCTGGATGAATTTAGGTTGACATTTCTTTCAGGGCTTGTAGGACTTGATTCCATTCACTCCCCTCTTGCCTTTTGGAGTTTCTGTTGGGAAATCTGCTGTGATTCAGATGCGTTTGTCTTTATAGGGAACTTCCTGCACCTCTCTTCATTCTTTTTTTTTTTTTTGTTAGTCGTAGGGCTTGGACTCTGGGCCCGGGTGCTGTCCCTGAGCTCTTCAGCTCAAGCCTAGTGCTCTACCACTTGAGTGACAGTGCCACTTCTGGTTTTCTGGTGGTTTATTGAAGATAAGAGTCTCACAGACTTCCTGGGCTGGCTTTGACCACAATCCTCAGATCTCAACCTCCTGAGTAGCTAGGATTACAGGCGTGAGCCACTGGTACCTGGTTTCATTCTTTTTTGTTGTTTTTTTTGTTTGGTGTTTTTACTCTCATAGATCTAGAGGTATTTCTTTGTTGCTCATATTTATTTGGTATTCTGAATACTTGGATGACCCCCTCTCAAGACTGGGAACAATTTCTGTTACATAACTTCTATGCTTTTACCTTGTACCTCTCCACCTTCTTCTATGCCCATGACTCATAGTTTGTGTGTGTCAGTCCTGGGCATTGTCCCTGAGCTTTTTTTGCTCAAGGCTGGCACTCTACCACTCGAGCCACACCTCCACTTTCTGCTTTTTGGTTATTAATTGGATGAGTCTTATGGACTTTCCTGCCCAGACTGGCTTCAAATTATGATCCTCAGGTTTGAGCTTCTTGAGTAGCTAGGATTATAGGTGTGAGCACTGGTGCCAGGCCAGATTTGCTTTTAATGATGTCCCAGGGGTTTTGCCATTTTCCATTCATACTTTCTAAATTGTCTTTATCTGCATGTCCTAATTCTTATACTTTATTCTCAAGCCTCTATCTTTACCTTATTCTACTGTGTAAGGAAGACTCCCAAGTGAGTTAAAAAAAATTGTTACTGAACTTTTATTTCCAGAATTCCACTTAAATCTTCTTTTCAGGATTTCTATACCTGTGTCAACTCCTCTTTCCCATCTGCATTGACTACCTTGCTTCATCCAGCTGCTTGCTTGAATCTTCTAAGGCTCATGTTTATCCATGCCCTCTTTCATTTCAGTTCCCTGCCTGAGATTTCATCTTCCTCTGTCATTCAAGTCCTCCCATGCTGATGGTTAGCGGGAGCTAAATGCTTAGGTGAGTGAAGAATAGAGTTGACAAATACACGCATAGACATCTCTCATCAAGCACTGCTCTGGTGTTTGTAGAGGAAAAGATAAATGACCTGGACACTGGTGACTCACGCCTGTAATCCCAGCTGCTCAGGAGGCTGAGATCTGAGGATCATGATTCAAAGCCAGCCCAGGCAGGAGAATCTGTTAAACTCTTACCTAATGCACCATCAGAAAAGCCAGAAATGGAGCTGTGGTTTAAGTAGTGAAAAGTATCTCAGGGACTGAGCCCATTCCCTGAGTTTAAGACCCAAGACCAGCACAAAACAAAACAAAAAAGAATAAAGACAATACTTGGAGGACTAAGAAGACATTAGCTCACAGCGACAGAAATGGAAAGAAGAAATGATGGGAAGAGGTAGGGTGGCTAAAGTAAATGGGGGGGGGGGTACGATGAAAACAAAGAGGTTAAAAAAATCCAGCTAACCGTGTAGTGAGAAAGAAAAATAAAATTCAAAAATATAACAACCTGCCCCCAAAAAAGACAATAAAGGATTATGAGAGAGAAAGACAAAAGACAGATAAGGGAGAAAACTACTTCAGTTTTTATTTTTGTCAGTTGTGGGGCTTGAACTCAAGGCCTGGGTGCTGTCCCTGAGCTCTTTTGCTCAAGGCTGGTGCTCTACCAGTTTGAGCTACAGTACCACTTCTGATTTTCTAGTGGTTCATTGGAGATAAGAGTCTCACAGACTTTCCTGCCTAAGCTGGCTTCCAACTGCGATCCTCAGATCTCAGCCTCCCAAGTAGCTAGGATTACAGGTGAGCCATGAGCTCCTGGCTGAAAACTACTTTAATTGTGGACAGAAAAGAAGTAGAAATGGTAGTAGAAAAGCCATTACTGACCTGGGTACCAGTGGCTCACACCTGGAATCCCAGCTACTCGGGAAGCTGAGATCTGAGGATCACAGTTTGAAGCCAGCTAGAGCAAGAAAGTCTGTGACTCTCCAATTCACCACCAAAAAGCCAGAAGTGGCACTGTGGCTCCAGTGGTTGAGAACTAGCCTTGAGCAAAAGAACTCAGAGACAGTTCCTAGGCCCTGAGTTCAAGTCCAGGGACCAGTACAAAATAAATAAAGCAAGTACAAGAAAACAAAAATACCTCAAATGAACCCCAAAAGACAAAGAGAGAAACAGCCAATATTTTCCCTCTTGTTGGGAGCAGCATTTAGTTTTGTTTTAAAGTCTGAAGTAGGTAGGCCATTAGGGCTGTCGGAACTGGAGACTTGGCTCAGTGGCGGAGTGCTCAGCCCTTGAATGTGGGTCCCCATCTGGAAAAGTAAACCTCAAGTTCTGTTGGTAAGTTCCCTTAATGGTGCTCAAGCGCTGGGCTCCTCACCCAAGGCTCTGGTTCCTCTCTCCACAGGGCCTGCGGCATCCTTCGTGTCTCCTAGGCAACCACCAGTGATGGATGGATGTGGTCCTCTGTCTCCTAGGCAACCACCAGTGCTGGCTGGGGTCCTCCATGTCTCCTAGGTTGATACCAGTGATGGATGGATGACGTCTTCCATGTCTCCTAGGCAGCCACCAATGATGGATGGTGACCCCTTCCTCCGTATACATGCAGTCACCCCAGCACGGTAGCGAGTGCTGATTTCCAGTGCACCTGTGGTTAGTGGCAGGGGTGCGCTAGACTCAGGACTCTTGACCTTCCGTCACAGGGTTCTGCATGATTTAAAGATGCTGGTGCTTGCAGATCTGCTATGCCACCAATCCTGGGTTTTCCTGGGCTGCTCTGGGTTTGGTAAGGGAAAGGTGGTAGTTTGATCAGCCTATGAGGAGTCACTGGAGAATGTTACTTTTTGCTTATTTAGTTTTATGAGTCAGGGTCTTCATGTGTTAGCCCAGGCTGGTGTTGAACTTGGAGTCCTCTTGCCTTGTGCCTGTTAAGTGCTGGGATTACAGGTGTGTGCCACTATGCCTGGCTCATTGCCTTTTTCTAGAAGCTAGCTTGCCTTCCTTGGCTTGTGGCCCCTTCTGTGAATGGCGTCCCCACCCTAACCCCCTCCTCCTTGCCTCCCACTTTGAACTGAAGGACTCCTGGGATGACTCGAGCTCCATCTGGATAATCGTCCTGTCATCAGATCTTCCACTTGATCTCACAATGCTCCAGCTACCTTGGGGCTGGCCCTTGGGAGGAAGGTGGGTGCATATCTGTCTTCTTGACTTAGGCAGGCCCCTCCTCACTCTAAATCCTTCCATGACTCTTACTGGCCCCAGCTTGGAGCCCGGGCCTGTCTTCAGCCTCCTGCCAGCTCCTCCTGCTATCCCAGCCGGCCCTGCTGGCGCTCAGTCCGGGGCTCCTCCACCTTACATAACTTCCTCAGCCTGCAATGCCTCTCCACTTCCTTCTTTGGCTGGCTGGGCTATTTATTCATCTGGGCCCCAGCTGGTCTTGTTTCCCTGTTCTAGAAGTTTTCATTCCAGCCCTGGTCCCTGCTTCTCCCTTATGCCTATGGGTCCCTTTAAAGTAGTGTATTTTCAGAACTTAGAAGTGATCTTCCAGTAGGTGGGCAGAGAAGGGGGGTGCTGGGAATGAGCCCCTCAGTGCGGCCCGAAGCTACGGTGCTGGGGTCCACACAGCGCCCTTCTCATACAGGACTCTGCCCAATGCTGGAGGAGCAGTTCCACACGCGGGAGACAGAGCGGTTATGCCAGTGGCCCGGAGGCACACAGCATTGCTGGGTCCCGGGGAGTGCAGTATGCATGGCTAAGGGTAGCCCTGCAGAGGGACAACACTCCCAGTGCTCAGCGTCTGGCCTTGAGCCCTGTATCTCCTGCTGTGTGCCTCCAAGGAGGTTACTTAGCCATTCTGTGCCTGTTAACCCCCCCCCCCCCAGAAGTTGCTCCTCAGTGGGAGCCACTCACGGGTCTTCGAGTCCCCACTTTCTCCTGCACCTCCATGTTTTGTGTATCCAGTCAGTGCTCTTCACCAGGTCTCTTCTCCCCCCTTGCTGACCTCCCTGGTTCCCACCACAGATCGGATGGGCGGTGAGGGAGCAGGGTCCTCGGCCTGATCTCCCTCCGAGGGGCCGGGAGTCCCACGAGGGCCAAGACCACAAGGCTCCTGGTCACTGCTGCCTCTGGTCGCTGGCACAGTGCCCAGCATACAGGGAAGGGTCCTTACTGCAGGAAGCCATGGGCACTGCGTCCCCGTCAGGACCACTTCCCATCAGAACACAGTCCCAGAAAGAAAAGATACCGGGTGACAAGAACAAGACCGGTCGTATTGTACAGCTGGGGGTAGAGGATCCTGGAGAGGACAGCTGCCCAGCGTGGGGGGGGGGGGGGGGAAATGGAGGCTTTCTGTCTTCTGAATAGACTCCTGCTGTGGCCTGGGAGCCAGTGAGTCCCCATGTTTCTTCCCCCCCCCCCACCCGCTATGTCTTTGGGGAGCCCCAGGAATGTGTGGTGAAGAATGGAGAAAGGCCAATGATGGCCGAGCTGCTCCGGAAAAATCACAGCAGCTCCCGGCCGCTGGCTGTTTTGTTGACTTTGGACAGGCCTTCCCGGAACCCAGAGTCCGTCATTCTGAGGAGGACAGACAGCACCAGGTCTTTCAGAGCCTGAAGGGCAACAGGACCTGACCAGCAATGTCCTCAGCCCCGCCCCTGAGCCGCTGGCCCCTCCCACTCCACAGCCGGCCAGTCTTCACGCACCTGGCTTCTGGAGCGGCCCTGGCTGGTCTCATTGCTCAACGTCTACTCAGTTGCCCTAACCTTGCCCCCAAAGGTACTGAAGAGCCACCCCGACCCCAGCTGCTCAGTTCCTGCCCACCTTGGCCTCTGGGGGAGGGTGGGGGGAGCACAACCCCTCTCCACTTTACCCTCAGAATGGTCTAGGCCCATCCCTCCTGCTTAGTCCTCCCCCCAGAGCTGCCTAGGCCCCACCCCATCCTGCTCAGCTCCACCCCCAGGGTGGTCCAGGCCTCACCCCGAACCCATAGGTGGGCTCCCAGAGGGCACTAGGCACGGGTACGCACACTTGCTCCATCTGCACGTCCTCCTCGTCCTCCTGCGGCAGCTGCAAATAGGGGTTGTCTCCCGCGGGCTGGAACTTGTAGCCGGTGAGCACAAAGAAGGTGAGCGTGGAGCTCTCCACCAGGAGCTGCGGGCAGAGGGCAGGAGCGGTCAGCACCCTCCCTGCACTGTGGCCCACCCGAGGTCGAGGCCTCCTGGCTCACCTGGTAGAGCCACTGCCACTGGAAGGGCACGGCCACCCGCAGCAGGATGGCGATGATGCGAGTGAAGTAGACGTAACAGATGACCTGCGGGAGCAGGGGTGGGCGCGGGGCAGACAGGCCACAGGGATGGGGCGGGCTGGGGGCTTCAGGATGGCAGGGGAGCACACTGGGAGGGGGGTGGCAGATGGCTGGGAAGGGTGGGGTTCCCTTACCACCTGGCCGGGCCTGCTCTGCGGGGTGGGGGATGCGTCTCTTACCATGACATAGTAGTGGCGGAACAGCTTCAGCTTGGCCAGGTTCACTGCCACTGGAGGGGGGGTGGGGACAAAGGATCAGAGGAATGCCAAGGGCCATGCAGGGGACAGGGGTAGCGCGGCCAAGGGCTGGGGCTCGGTGTCACGGGGCAGGGCGCACAAAGGGCCTGGAGCAGGGAGGGGGCTGTGGGTGCAGCGTCCCGAGGGGGCTCACCCTTCCCATCTGTGCCCGATGCGTCCTGGAGATGCCGGATGGACCTGGGAGGAGGCGGGGCAGAGGGCGTGGTCAGCTCAAACCACGCCCATCGGGTGAAGGAACCAACAGAGGATGTAGTCCTCAGGGCTCCACCCCTTTCGTGGGCGTGGCCTGGACTGGGTTAGGGGCGGGTGGGTCTGGTCCTCACCAGACGACAGGGAAGAGGATGGCGCCACAGCAGATGAGGTCCACCAGGAACAGGATCTTCTTCCAGAAGCCATAGTCGCTGGCGCCCTCTTCCCGGGACTCAATGACGATGTAGGCCACGTTGGCCAGGACCTGCCCAGGACCTGGGTGGGTGGACGGACGCCACCTGACCACATCCCTGACCCCTGCCCACTGGAAGCGCCCCTCGGGGCGGCCCCCACCCCCTCCACGGTCTCCCAGGCCGAGCACCTGCAGCGGGATCACAATCCCAAAAATCTTCTTCTCCTTGTCTGACAGCACGTACTTGACGAACGCCCAGCCCGAGCCGATCAGCGCGATCGTGATGAAGAGGAGGGCGCCCTTCAGCCTGGGGGGCGGGGGTGGGAGCCCGATGATGATGAGGGGGGCCCAGCCCACCCCTGCCCACCTCCCCGCCACCTGCCCTGACCGCAGGGACCACTCACAGGTGCGTGATATAGTGCATGACAGCGAGGCCTTCGATGGGGTGGCCCTGGCTGTTGATGAAGTAGTAGTTGATCTGGAGGCGGACGGATGGATGGACAGTCAGACAGGAGGATGGATGGGGGGGATGGGGGGGCTGGGGGCCAGAGGGCTGAATGGACTGAGTACAATAGGGATTGGGGGGACTAGAAAGTGAGTGGACAGTCACAATGGAACTTATAGGTGGGTGGTTAAGATGATGACGTGGCATCTGGGATGGACCAGTGGTCAGACTGGAGGGTGGACAGGGAAAGCTGGGAAGGACAGGCAGATGGATGACATGACCGCAGCATAGCCCAGATCTGTGGCGATGTGGGGGTAGCCTGCCTCCCCAGCCCCCCTCCCTGCCCCCCAAGGCGCTCACACTGTGGAAGAGGAGGGAGATGCTCTTGGTGAATGCCAGGGCTGCCATCAGCCAATGGATCTTGTAAACGTTGTACCTGGCAGTGTCAGGGAGAAGCAGGTGGGGAGACTGTCAGTGGAGGTGGGAGGTTGTAAGGGACGAGGGGCGGGGGAGAGGAGGGGAGCAGGGTATTACGTGTTCCTGCAGAGCACAGACACCCAAAAGATGCCTGCAGCCAGGAAGCAGGCAGACATGACGAGGTAGAGCTTGAAGAGGGGGATTTCTGCGGCCGACAGGAAGCCTTCTGGGTTCTTCTCCCGGATCATCACCTGGGGAGGGGCAGTGTTTGTGTGTGTGTGTGGGGGGGGTGTCACAGACTCCGAGCTCTGAACTTGGGAGAGCTGCATGGGAGTCTGCAGCTCTCTGGCTTCCTAGCTGGGGGACCTGCCCTCTCAGAACCTCAGTCTGCCCCATCTCTCCAATGGGCATAGAGTCATGCCTTATGCCTTGATATCCTTGGATGCTCAGTTCCAGGACTCCCTCAGCTACCAAAATACAAGATGCTCAGGTGCCTCTTATAAAGTGGCTTGGCATTTGCCTAGAATCTGTGCATACCCTCCTGTAGACCTTTGACCATCTTTTGTGTGTGTGTGTGTGTGTGTGTGTTTGTGCGCTAGTCCTGGGGCTTGAACTCAGGGCCTCAAGCTCTCACTTGGCTTTTTTTCAAGGATGGGGCTCTACCACTTGAGCCACAGCTCCAGTTCTGGCTTTCTGGTGCATAAATGAAAATAAAGAGTCTCACAGACTTTTCTGCCCGAGCTGGTTTCAAGCCCTCATCCTCAGATCTCAGCCTCCCAAGTAGCTAGGATTACAGGTATGCCCCACTGGGGCCCAGTGACCTTCAAACATCTTTAGACATAGTAGCTACAGTCCCTGTAAATGCCAGGAGCCAAGGACAGGAACCAGTATGCATGCATTCAGAACAGATGCGATCCATCCCTACCCACCTGGAAATCATTCAACCTGAGGCTGGAGGCCTGGAGGCCGTTGAGAAGCCAGGCCTGGTGGGGCCTGCCTGCCTGCCCACCCACTGGGGGTGGGGCTCACTCACCGTGAGGTCAAAGGGCCTCTCCCGGCCAGGGATGGAGTTGTAACAATTGTGGAAGTTGAGGATATACTGCCCTTCCTCAGCTCTGGAGCCGACCACCATGTGAAACTGGACAGAGGAGAGGAGGGCTAGGTTGGGGAGCAGGGAGGGGGCCCTAGGTGGTGTGGGGAGAAGGGGTCACCGGCATGACAGACACTCACGCTGAAGTTGTACGAGTCATTGAGGTGACCCAGGCCCAGCACCAGTTCCTTGTCTTTCCCACTGGGGGCCTGAGGGGACACAGAGCCTCCATCACTACTGGTCTTTCCGGCCGGAACCTGAGACATAGGCTCTGTCTTGGCCTTGCTGACTGTGGAGGTCCCTGTAGGAGATAGGTGAGGTGATTTCAAGAGCTGGATAATCAGAGGGATGGGCAGGAACGTAGGGGAATGCACCAGCTGGGTGTGCCTGACTCACCGCTGTCCACCTTACTGGGATCTGTGGGCTCTGGCTTCGGGAGCCCTGATTTGGAGGGTACATCAGGAAGGAGTCCAGGTGAGATAAACAGCTGCTTCTGCTCCCCATATTTCCGCACCTGGACCCTGGAGTAAAGGAGGGTAATGGAATGTATGTATGAAAGGACTCTAGGGGCCCTGGGCTCTGTGCATCTCCTCCTGAGGAGAGGGCATCTGGCTATGCTGCGGACCACCACACTCCAGCATCTGGGTGCCGGTCCACTGAACAATTCCTAGGCTGCCTGAACTAGTCATGGTTACTTTGCAATGATACATGCCTCTCACTCCATTAAGTTCCATTAAAAAACAAACAAAACATTGGGGCTGGGTATGATGGTTTATGCCTGTAATCCAAGCTACAGGAGAGGCAGAGACTGGGAGGGTCTCAGTTGGAAGTTTGGTTTTATTTTTGTTTGTTTTTTTTTCCATCTCTAGCAATAAGTTAATGAGTTTCTTATCTGAACAAACAAGCTGAATTTGGTGGTGCATCTGTAATCAACACAGAAGGTAGTGACAGGAGGATCTTAGTCCAAGGCTAGCCCTGGGCAAAAGTATAAGATCTTATCTGAAAAGTAAGCTAAAAGCAAGAAAGGGCTGAGGTGGGGTGTGTGGCTCAAGCCCTGATTTCAAACTCCAGAGAAAGAGAGAAAGGGGAGGGGGGAGAAAAGGAGAAAGATTAACAATTGTAGGTACAAGTGTGGTGCCAGTGGCTCATGCCTGTCATCCTAGCTACTCAGGAGGCTGAGATCTGAAAATCACGGTTTGAAGCTAGCCCCTGTGAGACTATCTGTCTCCAATTAACCACTCAAAAACTGGAAGTAGCATTGTGGTTAAAAATGGTAGACCCTTAGCCTTGAGCACACAGAGGCTCAGGGACAGTGCCCAGGCCCTGAGTTCAAGGCCCAGGACAAAAAAAAAAAATGGTCTAAAGAATCAGAGTTCAGACACAATGAAGGCCCAGGACTGTGTAGCCCCCAGGGAACATCAGCAAGTAGAAGTGAGTAAGGAATGCTGTGAATTCTTTTTTTTTTTTTTTTTGGGTCCGGTCGTGGGGCCTGAACTCTGGGCCTGGGCGCTGTCCCTCAGCTCTTCAGCTCAAGGCTAGCACTCTACCACTTGAGCCACAGCGCCACTTCCGGCTTTTTTCTTATGTGGTGCTAAGGAATCGAACCCAGGGCCTCGAGCATGCAAGGCAAGTGCTCTACCACTGAGCCACCTTCCCAGCCCATGCTGTGAATTCTTGACATACCTTTCAGTATCCGGGTATTTCTATTCCCTAAGTATCCTCTCCTCTCTCCCTCCTCCCAAAAATCAGTCTAGGAGGTGACTAGGAAAAGTGGGTGGCTTTCTCCCTAGGAATGCCAAGGAATGCTTTCCCAGCTGGCTTCTCATTCTGCCTGATCAGTGTGGTCACAGGTGGGCATTCCACTGGGGGAAATATAACAGAGGGTTTTGTGGACAGACCCCCCCGGGGGAGGGGGGGGCAACTCACTGCAGGTCCTTGGTATCGATGAGGAACAGAACCAAGAAGTTGCTGCTGTTTCTCTGCAGAGGGCATTCATGGGGATCCCTTGTCTGGGGAGTGGGAAGATGGAATCTAGGTTACCTCTCCCCCAGCCCCACCGTAGCCCCTCCCCACCCATCCAGGATCTCTTCCTATCCTTGCCTATGGGTACAGCAGCCTGTCCCAAATGATCCTGTTCATTCCTCCCCACTGCCTCCCCTGCTCCCGGCACTTACTGGGTAGGACCCAACACTGCCCGACTGAACTCGGCTCAGGCTGAACCCCACCTAGTGGTGGAAAGAAAGAGGCCGTGAGGAACTGTAGCAGGGACCACACCCCCCTTGCCCCCGATAAATGATCTCTTATAACAACAGAAGCGTAACCTCACACTCACTGACTAGCTCTTATGAGCCAGATCTCACGTTCTCTTTGAACTTTCCAACAACTCAGGGCCATCTTCCACTCTTATCTCCAATTAACCACTAAGGAGTAGGAAGAAGTGGAGCTGTGGTTCGAGTGGTAGCGCGCCAGCCTTGATCAAAAAAGCTCAGGGACAGTACCCAGGTCCTGAGTTCAAGCCCCAGGAAGGGCAAAAAATAAAAATAAAAGAATTGGCATTGGGACTCTGCCATTTCCAGACTCTAAAAAAGTCTTGCCTCTCCACCAGTGCATACCTCCATCAAAAGTGGGCTCTGTGAATTTCCACAGCATCCTGAGAAGAGGCTCACAGAGATACTGGTTACCTGATCCGAGCTCAGTCAGAGCTTGCTGATTACTTACTCACTTCAGAATCTGGGACTGGCTTGTCCACTGGGATGGCCCCACCAACTACTAAGACCAGTGTCCAGCACCTATGGTATGACAGGTTACTACTGCCGCAGGTGAGGAAGGACACAGACGGAGGGTCAGCTTGGGAATCCGGACCTCGGCGGTGCCGGGAGAGAGATGAAATTTGCCCCCCACCCCCGTCCAAGCCCCTCACCAGCGGGAACTTCGCTTCTGTCTCCTGGAGGCCCAGCCGCAGGACGCTCAACTCCACTTCCAGGGAGCCATTGGTGTAGAAGCCGAAGTTGTTCAGCTGGATGTCGGATCGTTTCTCCCCCTGCCGGAGGCAAAGGGGGACAGAGGCAGCTCAGACGTCCCACCAGTCTGGCCCCAAGGCTGTCAGGAGGGTTCCTCCAAAAGCTTCGGGGTGTCTTTGGTGATGGAAGGATGTGAGATGTCCTAGAAGCCTGAGACATCACCTCCCTCCCCACACCCTTCTAGTCCCAGGCAGCAAGAAGGTGGCCTCGGATCTTCCAAGAGAGACTGCTGGGTGAACTGAAGGGTTCCCCACCCCCCGCCCCGCTCCAAAGACCTGAGGAGCACCCCTAGAATGTGTGGCCGGCCTTTACCTCCCCAAAAACTTTCAGATTCCCCACTGGGTCCCCAGTGTGTTGAGATTTCCACGGATTCCCCAAGATCCCGCTCGAGAGCTCTTCCAGGATCCCCTCTGAGTGGCGCCAAGGGGTTCTAGCGACTCCCCAAGAATTGTAAAGGGCGAAGAGTCGGGGGTGCGCCCGGGGGCTCCGGCACCGAGCCAGCACTCCGGGCCAGGAAAGTCCATCGCGAGGACAGCTCAGGGGGCGGGGAGTGGGGGGGGGGACGAGATCATTCTCGCAAGGGGAGGGGGGCGCCAGACCGCTCCATCCCGCGCACGGCGCAGGGGAGGACGGACGAGACCACTCCAAGCCAGGGCCTGCTCCGCGACAAGGCCACACCCCTCCCGCCCCAGGCCGCCGCGCGGGGGACCTCACCGTCAGCGCCAGCCGGTGGATGCGCCCCGAGCAGCTGCCGGACAGCAGCAACAGAAGGAGCAGCTGCCCCCACTCCGCGGGGCTCCCGCGGCCGAGCCCCCTCCTCTCGCACACTGCCATCTCTGGAGCTGCCACCTCCCCTGACACCGCCTCTGACGCCCGCAGGCCCGCCTACTTGTGAGCCAATCGTTGCACGTCGGGGACGGGCTCTATGGAGTTTTTCAGCCCATACAGCCAATCAGAGGCCAAGTCTTCCGTAAACCCGCCCCTGAACGACACTAGATAGACAGCGCCGACTTCAAATAGAAGTGTTGATTCTGTTTAGCCTCGCCTTTATGGTCACCAATCACCAGAAAGAGTTTACCAAATGTACTTTGATAAACAGTACACCTAACCAATTACCATGAAGCTCATGTGGCTCTTAAAGCGGAATTTCTCCACCCAACTGTTAACGGTTCAGGACTACATTACCCAAAATTCAGTGGGCAGAGACAGTCTTACCAAGGCATAAGTAAACTACATTTCCCAGTGTCCCCAAGGACGGACTTCCTTTTCTTTTCTTTTCTTTTTTTTTCCGGGCTGAGTGGCTCGTAGCCAAAGCTCAGGCTTTTGATAAACATACGCATCTGTTGAGGCCGGTCCTGTTCTCTTAATCTTCCTGGTTCACCAAGAGGCCTAAGCCTAGCCCCAGGTTCAATTTGGACCCTAGAATGACCTATGAACCCAACCTTAGGCTAAGGCTGTTACACCAGAGAGAAGCAATTCAGGTCCACTTGCTGACCTCAGGTTTATTAACCCTTTGCTATAAGCTGAGTCCCAATGCAGGAAACCTGGACCCTCTCCCCACTTTCGGCCGTGAACGCCCCTCCTCCCCTTCTCCCACACTTACCCGGAACCTCCATGCCTGACAGCACTGACTCCTGCCTGCATCTGTCTTTGAGTCCCTCAGTCTTCACAAGATGACCACCCCAATAGGTCTTGAGACCCCCATCCCAGCTGTGTGCTGACCTAGACTGACTCCTAAATCTAGTGGAAACTCCAAACCAGGATTGAACACAGAGCTTTTGCTGGGCTGAATTCCAGTCAAGATCCTTTAACACTGAAAGCCGCCAGCAGGTGGGGCCCAGGGCCCAGCAGAGGGGTCCGACCATAATAAGCACAGATTCCCAGGGTTCTGGTGCCTAGGGGAGCCGATCACCCCCCACCCCCACCCCCGCCAGGGACCAACACTCCTCTGGCAGCCCCAGCAGCGTGTTGTAGCTAGAGAGAAAGTGTTGAAGGCAGGGGAGAAAGCGTGGTAGGAGCCGCTGGTGCCTCTCCCCTTTGATGCTACAGCCTCAGGGGAATTTACGAGGTGTGAACAGATATTTATGGGGGGAGGGGAGAGGGAGAGACAGACTTCTAAGCCCCAGGGCCCCAGAGTCTAGGAGAGAAGCAACATTGGAATCCCAGGACCGTAATGAATGAGACCGGAAAATGGGCAGCTACAGAACTTGGGCAAAAGGCTTGGGACTGGTGCCCCAAGGACGACTTGTCCTCAGTTTCCCAGCGGGGACTGGCGCTAAGGGGGAGGGAAGGCAGGATGCGGTGCGAGCGCTAATGGACCCGGCCTTGGCGGAGGTTCGTCCTGGGCAGGATCGAAGTCCTCCCATCCGCCCTGTGGCCGCAGAGACCAGACCATTAGTGGGACAAACGTAGACGCCTGGAGCCAGGTTGGCCCGCAATTGACGAGTTGACCTCAGGTTCTCCCTGCAAATGGGCGTAGAGAAGGACTTCTTGAGTTTGGGGTTTTAGTTATCGTTGGCTCTTTACGGAATGGTTGAAGGGAAGGAAGAAACGTCTGAGGCGTAGGAGGATGAGAAGGGGCCCCAGAGATTTTTGAAAATGGGTGACGGGTCCTTTAAGAGGGGTTTGTCCGGTGGCGTGGAGTGGCCACGTTCCTTTAAGAGGGGGCGGGGCGTCTTGTTGGCCACACCCACACAAGGCCCCGCCCTTAGGGAGCCGGGTAGGGGCTTGGCGCGGGAGGGGCGTGGCAAAGCGTGAAGGGGCGTGGACGTAATGCAGTGGGCGGGGCTTTGGCGGGCGGGGCGGGGCCGGGCGCTCCGCCCTCTTCTGAGTCTCCCCGCTGAGGGTGGCGGGTGGCGGGGACCGGGGCGGCGGCGGCGGCGGCGGCGGCGGCGGGAGCAGCGGCGGGAGCAGCATGGATTGGGGCACTGAGTTGTGGGTGAGTGCGATCAGCCCGGCTTTAACTTCTCAGACCTTGAAGTGAGGCGGGTGCGGGGTGGGGGGGGGGGCCCAGATGTTCCCCCTCCTCCCGCTTTGTCCGCGCGGTACTTTTAGCCTGGGGCTCCTTGGGGCTTTTCCTTCCCCTGACCCCTGCGTCCCCGCCCTCTGCCCTCTGAGCTCTTTCGGGAGTTTTCTCTCGGGAGTTTTCAGGACACGCGGGGGCCGGTCGAGGGTAGAGCTTGCAAGACTGGAGCGGGGAAACTGAGGCACGAGGTTGCAATCAAAGTGGCTAGAAAAAAATGTTTTTTGTTTTTTGAAGTCCTAAGACCAGGCCCGGGACAGCCGGGCGAGGTCACCTATTTTGAGCGCCCTGGCTGGACGGGCGGCTAATCTTACGCCCCTGGGTCTCTGCCCGCCGCCCGCCTGTCCGGCCGGGAGGGGAGCGGAGAGGGGGGGAGGGGACCCTCCGGCCACCTCCCCCCCCCGCCCACCCCACGTGGGGCCGGCGAGCCCCGACCGGCCACTTAGGGACTCGGGACGCCCGTGGAGAGGGCAGGGGCTCTCCCCGACCCCGAGCCCGCCCCTGGCGCAGGGCAGGGCCTCCCTCCCCTCCCCCAGGAAATCCCCCTCCCCCTTCCATCCCGGATCCTAGCTGGACCTCTGACCCCTCCCCTTTCTGGGAGAGATATGCTCTTTTTTGCCTCCACTCTTGGGTGCAGCTAGCGAGACTAAGCGCTAGGTCGCCACCCTCTCTCCAACTCTGGGATTTCCCTCGGAGGTGTGGAGGAGTCCGTGGAGGGAAACTGAGTCACCCGTCTGAGACTGCCTCCTGGCCATTCTGAGGGCCCCCCCCCCCCCCGTTACACACACACACGCACACGCACACCCCACCCCTCCTCAGGCTGCCCCAAACCCTGCCCCTCTCTGGCCCTGACTCACGCCAGGCCGGCCGGATTTTCCGGAATCTAGGGGGGCGATTAGGGGAGTCCGTGGGGGGGGGGTCATGGGGAGTGGCTTTTACCCCGTCCCACGGCCCTCTCGGCCATCCGGAGCCCCCCGGATCGTGTTGTCCGGCTTGGGCCCCGGGCCCTGTTCTCCGGCCCTTCCCGGGAAGGGGAGGGGGCTCCCGCCAGCTTCCTGCCCGCGCCTCTGCCGGGGCGGCGCCGGGAGCCGCTCCTCCGCCCAGCCCAGCCCAGCCCAGGCCGGGCTCCGAGGCTCCGGGGCAGGCGATCGGGTGCTGGGGTGCGACCTCCGGTCGTGACCCCCGGTCCCCCCCTCCCCGCATCAGGATCAGTTCGAGGTGCTGGAGCGCCACACGCAGTGGGGCCTGGACCTGTTGGACCGCTACGTGAAGTTCGTGAAAGAACGCACGGAGGTGGAGCAGGCCTACGCCAAGCAGTTGCGGTGAGACCCGACAAGGGCGTCGCTGGCGGGGCTGGGGAGGGGGGGACCCCGGGGGTGCTGCCCGAGCACCCCCCACCCCGAGGGCTCAGCTCCCCTGCCTGTCTGTCTCCTCCAGGAGCCTGGTGAAAAAATATCTGCCCAAGAGACCCGCCAAAGACGAGCCCGAATCCAAGTAAGGATGGAGGAGGGTTTGGAGAGCTAGGCTGGGGGGGGGGGGGTTCGGAGCCTTAGCACCCCCCCCCACTTCACCCCTCACCCCAGTTCTCATCCAGAGCCCAAATGCAAGGATCCCACATGACCTGGGCTGGGGAGTCTCAGTCCTCTGGCTTCTCTGTGTTTTCTTTCGTGTGTGTGTGTGTGTGTGTGTGTGTGTGTGTGTGCATGCTAATCCTGAGGCTTGAACCCTGAGCCTCTCTGTACACAGGGCTTTACTATATACTATGTATACACTATATGCTTATCTTCCAATGCAGTGCTATGGTTTGCAATTTGTATAATGGGAATAAGAAGCTGGGCGCTGGGTGGCTCATACCTGTCATCCTAGTTATTCAGGAGGCTGAGATCTGAGGATCATGGTTCAAAGCCAGCCTAGGCAGGAAGTCCATGAGACTCTTTTTTTTTTTTTGAGTCCGGTTATGGGGCCTGAACTCTGGGCCTGGGCGCTGTCCCTCAGCTCTTCAGCTCATGGCTAGCGCTCTACCACTTGAACCACATTGCCACTTCTGGCTTTTTTTCTTTTTGCTTATGTGGTGCTGAGGAATCGAACCCAGGGCCTCATGCATGCAAGACAAGCACTCTACCACTAAGCCACCTTCCCAGCCCTCCATGAGACTCTTACCTCCAACCAACCACCAGAAAACCAGAAGTGGAGTTGTAGTTCAAGTAGTAGAGCGCTAGCCTTGAGCAAAAGAGCTCAGGGACAGACAGCACCCAGGCCCACAGTTCAAGCTCCGTGACTTTTTTTTTTTTTTTAAGTCTCATGGACTTTTTTGGCCTGGCTAGCCTAAAACTGTGATCCTCAGACCTTAGCCTCCTGAGTTGCTAGGATTGCAGGCATGAGCCACCAGTGGCCAGCTTCTTCTGTTTGGGCCTTTTTCTCTTTGCTCATTGGCTAAAGGGGTTTGTTTCAGGTAAATTCCACCCCGAATGGCTTGGGACTGGGGACTTTTGTGGTGCCTCTCATTTCCTTGTCTGTGGGATGGGATTGATGGCCACTGTCCCCTACCTGCAGTGTTTTCCAGAAGGAGCACAGAAGGAGCTACAGCACCCAACCCAGAGTCATTGTGGAAGCACTAAGCTTTATTCTCGGCCCCCTTTTTTTCCTTCCAGAATCCCAAAAGCTCTAGTGGTTTTAAGAGGGTTTCCGGAGTAACTTGTTATACTTTTAGCCCACATCCTGTGAGTGCCATTCCCCCCTCCCCCTTTTTTTTTTCCTGAGGGGACTGAAATTATCCCTAATTAAAAAGTATCTCAGCTGGGAGCTGGTGGGTTCTAGCCACCTTGAGGTTGAGATCTAGTGGAGC